TTTATTGACTACGATTTCAGGTTCACAAAGAACAGCAAGCGGGCGTCGCTGCTCTTCTCCGACATTGCGTATGCGCTGCAGGTCGAGCCTGCGCCCACCTCGTTGGCGCGCGGCTCGCCATCACCGTCGGCCTCGCCCACGCCACTGCCGTTGTCGCCGGCGCTGTCGTCGTCGTTGTACGCGTCGCTGCTGGACGACGACGAGGTGGGCGGCGGGCTCGACGCGTCACTGCTGACGCCCACACCGCTGACGTCGACGCCTGTGTCCGCGGTCAAGCCCGTGACGACGACCTTGACAGCCACCCCCGCGAAGCCCACACCGACGCTAACGCTGCAGCCCAAGTCGCACGCCCCGCTCTCGCTCAACAAGGTGTGCGCCACCCCGCAGGCAAAGACGCAACCCCCGCGACATCCCGATGCTTGTGGTGACTGTCACGTTCCTAAGCTACTACGAATCCCCCACCTATCCTTCCCTCCCGTCGTCTACCACTTGTATATTATATAGTTTGGTACTGATATGACCTTAGGCGCAACCCCGGCATGAAGGAGGTTGTGTTCCGCTCGCGCGAGTTCCAGCTCAACAACTCACCCATGTACTGCTTCACCTCGTTCGACTACCTCCCCACGGACCATGACATCCTGCGCTCGCGCCGTGTGCCGCTCACACGAGCATTGACTGACAACCTTATGATGTGTAGCCTTATAATGCAACTTTTCTGTTGCAAGACCCCTGCAATGCGGCCAAGTATTAGGACCTTGCAAGGCATTGTAAAGCCTTGAAAGATGATTTCAGTTTTTCCGACAAATGCAGTGCATGGTTTCAACAAGTTATTTGCCCACGTTCTTTGAGCTCGGTCGATAAGAGCCCACAATCGCAACTCTGAAATAGAAAGCTGTATCTAGTCTCTCAGTGGACAGACGCTTTAGTGATTCTAACTCGTAGTACGAGCTTACGAGGTACGAGTCGTACCTCGCAAGCTGTATCCAGATGAAAGACACAAGAGAAATAAAATAAAAAATAAAAAAGTGCTTGAGACTACACCTGTACTGTAATATTTCATCTCAGTTTCGTCTCTCGGCAGATGCAGTTGAATAAAAAAACAGATCACTTGGTCGAGTCTCAGGACGGAGCGCTCAGGCGGACAAATTACTACCACTGCAGGAAAGTAAGTATCAACGGCAGGTACAGTCGATGAGAATCAGAGAGATATTAGGGAAGGACGCCGAATGAGGCGAGGAATGCCACAAGTTGTTTGGAGAGACTCACACGCGTCGATCCAGGTTCTCCACCGTCCGGGGAGGAGCCGATATACAGGATACGCGCGGGGTCGGATCGTACAAACAGCAGATACGAGCGACAGTCCAGATACCGGCGGAAGGAGAGCTTAAGAGACCAGGAATGAAACTGAATAAGGAGCAGAGAATTAGACACATTCGTTATTTACCGACCCACCACCTCCCTCACTCCAGCGTATTATCCCACACACTCCTCACACTCACCCCCTCCACCCACCTCCCCTTCGACCAATCCTCCCACACCGTAAACACCACCTCCCGCTTCTCCCCCTTGTCCAACCAGAACCCATTGTCCGACCAGAACCCCTGCACCGCCGTCGTCGCCACGTCCACCCACACCCACGCCGCCACCGCCTTCGTCGCCTGCACCGTAAACGCATACGTCTTCCCCCCCGCGCCGCCCCGGGGCTTCGTGAGCACCAGCCCCGGATCGCGCAGCGCCGCCTCCGCTAGCGTCGCGGGGTGGAACACCGTGCTATGCTTGTACGCCACGCCGCCCGCGCTCGCGCTCACCCCGAGCACCAACAGCGCGTCCGCCGCGTCCGCCCCCGCCTGTGCCAGCTTGCCCCGCACATCCGGCACCCTCAGCGCGTCCACGCTCGTCGAGTTCACCGCCCCCACGCGCACGCGCACCTCCCCGCCGGCGCCGAGCTTACCAAGCGCGTTCCCCGCCCAGTCGACCCACTTGTACGTGACGCGCGCGTCGACGGCGCTCAGCAGGTCCGACGTGACCCACACCTGCAGCTCCGCCGCGCCGCCGCTGGTGTTGTAGTACGCGCGCACGATGACGGGGGAGAAGACGTCTTTGGCGGCGTAGTAGAGCACCTTCTGGCGGTTGTTCGACTCGACGCTCGACCAGGTTGGCGCGGCCCTGCATCGCGCGTGAGTCAGTGAGTGCTAGAGGGGAGGAGGGGGATGTATGTACATACCATTGATCGTTTAGCATCCAGTACAGCGCGCCCATCTGGCGCTCGCGCATCCCCGAGCCGCGCCGGTAGAACGCAATCTGGTGCGCGATGTCGTCCGCCTGCACGACCTGCGTCGACCAGCACCATGCGCTGCATACGTACGTATCTCAGCACCACAAAACAAAAAAGTAAAAAAAACGCACGTAAAGTTCGCCCCCGCGTCCCTCTTATCCGGGACGGGCAGATACAGCCTAACCGCGGCCGTCATCTCCGCGATGCCCGTGCGGGACAGCGCGGCCGAGTCGCCGCCCGCGCCGAACGGGTAGTGGCGATTGTGGTCCACGACCGTAGGCGACTCGTAGAACTGCTCGTCTGCGGGCGCGGCGCCCGCCCACGTCAGCGCGCTCGGCATGCTGTGGAACCCAAACTCGTTCGCGAAGCGCCCCACGGGGTACGTGCCCATGTCGAACAGCGCCGGCGCAAAGTAGTTGTACGCGTCCGTGTCGGCATACAGCGCGTCCGCGCCCGAGGTGTTGAGGTACCGCGGGCGCTGCGGCATCTCCGAGGTGAAGTTCAAGTTGGTGTACCCGTGGTAGGTGGAGGACGGGATGTAGCTGATGGAGTGCGTGTTGGCGTACACGCACTTTATGAGGAGGTGCTGGAAGATCTGCTCGTACTGGCGCTGGATGGTGCTCGGGTCCGTCGCGCTGAAGAAGAAGGCGAGGATAATCGCCTCGAGCTCGTTCCCGCCCGCCCACAGCGCGAGGCTCGGGTGGTGGTTCACGCGGCGCACGTTGTAGTACGCCTCCGCCTCGTACGTGCGCAGGTACGGGGCCGTGTTCGGGTACTCGGCGTCGGAGAACGCGAACTCGGACCAAAGGAGCACGCCCGTCTCGTCCGCGACGTCGTAGATCCAGTCCGGCAGGTACGTCCCCGACGACCACACACGCAGCATGTTCATGTGCGACGCGCGCGCGAGACCGAACAGCTGCTCGATCTTCGTCCCGTTCACGCGCGCCCAGAACGGGTCCGGCGGGACGAAGTTGGCGCCCTTGGCGTAGAACGCGTGCCCGTTGACCTCAAAGTGCCAGTGGGCGCCCGGCGCGATGCCCTGCGCGCGCTCCGCGGCGGAGACCTCGCCCAGGTTGAGCACGATGGTGCGGAAGCCGACGCGCTTGCGCACGGTGGTGATGGGCAGCCCGAGGAGGCCGTCGACCGCCACGCTCGCGGTGTACAGCGTCTGGGCCCCCATGCCGTTCGGCCACCACAGCGCGACGGCGGCCGCGGCGATGGTCGTGCTGCCGGTGATGGTGCCGCCGCCTGTGCGCACGCCCGTGAGCGCCTGGCGCAGCACCTGCCTGCCGCCCGCGTCGGTGAGCGTGAGCGTCATGCCGCGCTCGCCGATGAGCGTGCCGACGTAGTCGATGCTGCAGTTGAAGACCCAGGGCTGCGCCTGGTCCGGGGGCAGGTTGGGCATCTGGCCCTTGCGGTAGATGTCGATGAGGGTGTTGCTGGGGTAGACCTGGCCTGCGACGAGCTGAACGGCGTGGATGGGCTGATAGGGGCCGGCGGGGACGAGCGCGGGGGCCCAGTCCCAGCCAAAGTCGCTCTGCTCCTTGCGCGCGTAGGGCTTGCAGCTGAACTCGCTGCTGGTGGGGCTGCAGCTGTCGGCAAAGTTGACCTCGGGGACCATGTCTGGGCCTGCGCTGATGGCGTGGGTGATGTTGACGGCCGAGCCAAAGTTGAGGGACAGCTGGGGCTTGGGGCTGTGGCATGCGCGCAGGATCTTTGTGACGTCGAAGATGTACTGCAGGAACATGTTGTTGGTGTCGCCCACGACCTGGTCGCAAAGCGTGATGTGCGTGAACGTGTCGAGACCCTGGAAGACCAGGTACGTCGACGTGACGAGGCCAGTGAGCTTTAGGTCGGTGAGTGCGCGCGAGGTGTACGTCCAGTTCTGCAGTCGGACCCACGACTGGTCGACGTTGTTGGTGCTGAACAGCGGGTCGCCGATGACACCCGCCTTGTACAGATCTAGGTACTGCTGCGAAGGGACTGTAGCTGGGACAGATACGCTGCCATTTTCACTACGGAGTGTCCAGCCAGAGCCCGAGAGGTCCGTCACGAGCTGCGCGCTGCAAGACGCGACGAGTCCCAGGTAAAACGTCCAAGACCGCATTGCAGCAAAAAGAGTGATGCCCGAGTGTTATATATGAGGAGCCGCATACCTGCTGATCATGGCAATGCGCGCGAGCTCACTGCGAGGTACCGAAGCGCGGTCCAGTGACCAGCGTCGAAGCATGCTGGTGGGAGCACCGAACCAGGAAATTGCCCCTTTCGGGTGCAGGCCCGGGCGCATCAAAGTTGATCCTCTCTGTGCCTGTCTGGTTCCTGGAAAAGTATTCATGTGGATTTCTGTGTGTGGTAGAGACCCATTTGTCAAGGCACACATTTTAATGAATATCGACTCGATGGCGGGATGGTCCGCATCTGCCTTACTTTGACCACCAACGGGTTCCACATGGAATATTATTCGCAGAACGTGCCTGTTCGAATCAGGCTCGAGTCATTAGCGGCAATCCTGCTCCTTTTTTCTTTTTCTTTTCGAAATTGGCAACCTGTCTCTTTGAGCAGCGATGAATGGATTAACATTGTGGCGAGACTGATTTTTTAGTCTGCTAAATTCATAACCATGCCTACCACACGTTGGAATTTTCAGTCTGTTACTGTAACTTCCCTACTTACTGCAGCTTTGAAAATTACTGAAGCTATCAGAGGGCCGAAGTAAGCAGATATCGACTCGATGGCGGGATGGGTCCGCATCTGCTTATTTGATAGATGAAGGAACCCGAGCTATAAGCAGAAGGTGCCTGTTCGAATCAGGCTCGAGTCTTGTTTTGAGCCGTTTGAATTTTTTTCTTTCTCAAAATCAACCTGTTCTTTAGGATAGGCGGATTGTAGACTGCTTCTCAGGCTCTTAAGCAAGGTCGTGAGTGCACATTGGATTTTTCCGAGTCCCATTACAACTTCTTAATCTCCTAATCATTTACTGCACTTTGGAAATTACTAAACCTATCAGAGGGCCGAAGTAAACGAATATCGACTCGATGGCGGGATGAGTCCGCATCTGCTCAACTTGCTACCTTAATCCCCAAGCAATATTAGCAGAAGGTGCCTGTTCGAATCAGGCTCGAGTCTTGCTTCGTGAATATTTAACTTTTTTTCTTTCTCAAAATCAACGCGTCTCTTTGATCAGCGATGGATGGATTAACATTGTGACGAGACTGATTTTTCGGTCCGCTAAACTCACAAACTTAAGGTGCTCACTACACGTTAGAGTTTTCAGTCTGTTACTGTAATCTCCCCACTTACTGCAGCTTTGAAATTTATTGAGCCTATCAGAGGGCCGAAGTAAGCAGATATCGACTCGATGGCGGGATGGTCCGCATCTGCTATACTTGCAACTTGAAGATCGTAGGCATAAGCAGAAGGTGCCTGTTCGAATCAGGCTCGAGTCTTATCTCGACAAGTTGAGTGTTTTTTCTTCTCAAAATCAACCTGTTCTTTAGGATAGCTGGATTGTAGCACGACTGAGGCTTTTCAGCCTCCTACGCAAAGTCGTGAGTGCACATTGGAATTTTCAGTTTGTTGACAAACCCATTATAACTTCCTGATCTCCTAATCATTTACTGCACTTTGAAATCTATTGAACCTATCAGAGAGCCAAAGTAAGTGCATATCGACTCGATGGCGGGATGGGTCCGCACCTGCATTATTTAGCGATCTTGTATCAAATGGAATCTTCGCAGAAGGTGCCTGTTCGAATCAGGCTCGAGTCATCGGACGACTGTATATATTTTTTACTTTTTTCAAAATTAACCAGTTTTTTTGGTCAGGATGGATTGTAGTGCAAGTGATTTTTCAGTCTGCTAAACAAGGTCATGAGTGCACGTTGGAATTTTCGTTCTGTTGCAGTAAATTCCTAGCTTATTGCACTTTGAAATGACTGAACCTACCGAAGAATACAAGTAAGCAGATATCGACTCGATGGCGGGATGGGTCCGCATCTGCATTATTTGCCGGTTGCATGGAATCTTCGCAGAAGGTGCCTGTTCGAATCAGGCTCGAGTCTTTCTTTTTTTCTTTCTCAAGATCAATCCGTTCTCTAGGATAGATGGATTGTAGCGCGACTGCTTTTCAGCCTCCTACGCAAAGTCGTGAGTGCACGTTGGAATTCTCAGTTTGTTGAAACATTCCCGTTATAACTTCCTAATCTCCTGATCATTTACTGCACTTTGAAATTTATTAAACCTATCAGAGAGTGGAAGTAAGCAGATATCGACTCGATGGCGAGATGGTCCGCATCTGCTATATTTAAAAAGTGTGCCATCATAAGCAGAAGGTGCCTGTTCGACTCAGGCTCGAGTCTTATAATTATTTCGGTGCTTAGTGATTTTTTTTCTTTCTCAAAATCAACCTGTTCTTGAGAATATATGGATTGTAGTGCGACTGCTTTTCAGCCTCCTACACAAAGTCGTGAGTGCACATTGTAATTTTCAGTCTGTTGACATTCGCATTATAACTTCTTAATCTCCTGATCATTCACTGCACTTTGAAAATTACTGAACCTACCAGAGAGCCGAAGTAAGCAGATATCGACTCGATAGTGGGATGGGTCCGCATCTGCATTATTTCCTCGATAGCCAATGAAATAGAATCTTCGCAGAAGGTGCCTGTTCGAATCAGGCTCGAGTCATAGGTTTCCATCATCCCCCTTTTTTTTTTCTCAAAATCAACCTGGCTCTTTGGTCAGCGATGGATGAATTAACATGGTGGTGAGACTGCTTTTTTAGTCCGCTTAGACTAAACTCACAACCGTGCTTACCACACGTTGGAATTTTCAGTTTGTTACTGTAATTTCCCTACTTACTGTACCTTGAAAATTACTGAACCTATCAGGGAGCCAAAGTAAGTGTATATCGACTCGATGGCGGGATGATCCGCATCTGCATTATTTCACGGAGATCTATTAGGAATATTCGCAGAAGGTGCCTGTTCGAATCGGGCTCGAGTCATAAGTGGCTAGCATCCATTTTTTTGTTTTTTTCTCAAAATCAACCCGTCTGTTTGATCAACATTGGATGGATTCTATCATTGCGAGTGATTTTCAGTCTGCTAAGCAAGGTCATGAGTGCACATTGGGATTTACGTCCTGTTAAAAACTTCCCTACTCACTTCACCTTGAAATTTATTGAACTTATCAGAGTGCCGAAGTAAAGCAAATATCGACTCGATGGCGGGATAGGTCCGCATCTGCTATACTTGTAAATTAACCATGGTACACATAAGCAGAAGGTGCCTGTTCGAATCAGGCTCGAGTCATGTCCACAGTCCGTCGACTGGATTTTTATTTTTCTAGTATACTTGATCTCGCAAATGATTGTGAAAGCTATTCTGACGCGGCTGAAAGTGATTTGTGATTTTGGGTCTGTTAAACTCCACCGCACATTTAAGTTTCTTGAGCCCACGGAAATAAGGATGCGCCATGGTGCGCCCAAAAAATCGCCTGAAGAACACGAGCTATTCATTTCATTTCACCCTCCCGACGCTCCACGCCGTCATGATATCCTCGTCACACAAACACGTCTTAGAGGCTAAGAGGATACCAACCCTGGATCCGAGCCGTGAACCTTAACAAGGGCGTAGCACGGAGGCTGCATGCGCCGAGATGCGAGAGCGTCCGTGCTATGCGGCGGATTTCCGCGCACTGCCTATGGGCGGTATGGGGTCTAGGCGGATTCCTAAGTCCTGCCTCCATGTGGATCGCATCTCCGGATCGTTAACCTGTGCTTGCGCGCGCCGGGATCCTTTCGGCCCCCGCAAGCGCAAGGACTTGAAATCCGGCGCGGGTGGATTCCGGTTAAAACTTCAGCAGCGCATAAACTCGGCAGATATTGATGGCGCGAGTTGGCCAAATTGGGAGAGCGCGGGTGTCTGAATCAGAAAAAATGGGGAAGTTTCAGAACGTTCATGAATTATCGAGAGATACGATTCGGTACGAATATTAGCAGACACCTGCCGGCATATATTTCGAGAGGAATAAGAATAGCATCTGCGGCAAGCTTCTTGTCCTGGGGCCAGCCAGTGTGCGCGACGCGGATCGACGCCGAAATTCATCACAAAATCCATTCTATACAAAAACCCAAGGACGTGGTATTATTTTGGTATGCCCTATATGTTTCAGCGTAATGTAGCAGCGTGGAGGTATAACACACGACGGTGAGCCAAAAAATACCTAAAGCCTCCACCACCTCGCTGATGCTCAGCCCAAGAGTCCCTCCATCTATCGCTCACTTCTTCTTCTTGGGCTTCTTTTTCTTCACCCCACCGGCTGCTGGTCCTGACGCTGCCGGTGCTGCGCTAGATGCGGCGGGTGCTGGAGGCATAGAGACGTCGCGCGCAACGCTCGCCTTCGCAGGCTCCTCCACGACCGCTGGCGGCTCCTCCTTCTGTCGGTTCTGCATCTTTTCCATCAGCGACAGATTCAGCGCCTCGAATCGATTCAGGAAGATGGAGGAGTATGTCTTGAACTTTATACACTGAAAGTGAGCGGTCAGACCCCCAGAACTGAGGAAAGTGTGTAGCAAGACGCACTGTCGTGTCGTCGGTGATTTTAAGGACCAGCTTTCCCTCAGAAGACTTCCATTTTACACAGTATCGCGTCTATGGTGGGGCCGTCAGATTCGCCGAGGGATGAGGGCGAGTAGGGTGCACCTTTGTAGGAGACTTGGTGTAGAGCGCCTCTGCGGCATCCTGGTATTCTTGCCAGGCATGGATGTACACCATGGCATGGGGCAGCAGCTAACGTGTATGTGACGCCTCGGCCTGACTCGGCTTTTCCGTTCCGTAAAATGTGACTGCGTGACACTTTCCCCGTCTTCCTTTTTCCACCACGACGATGGCCACCGGCGAGAAGAAATGTCGGTAATCCTCAATCCTGAGCCAGCGCAACTGTTCTGAAGTCCCTCAGCCCTTCCTTTCATTGCAAATTTTGCGGCTGGCGCGATTGCAGGCATATCAGGAGATTTTGACATTTTATCCTCTCGGTAAGGCGTCCGGAGCATCCAAGATCGCTAATAACCCTCGGGAACTATTCAGATGTTGTGCGTACTCTCTACGGATCGTCTGGCAGGCGTGATAATCATGTCCTATTAGGTGAAAACGCGGATGCAGCTGGAGACTGGCAAATCGCAGCATGGTCTTGTAGGAAGCTTTAAAACAATTATTAGAGAGGAGGGGTGCGTCCTCAGTCTGCATCTCTAGTCTATTTGGATTACTGAGATACTGGATAGTTTTGGGCGATTATATCGCGGTGCGTCGAGCGCCGCATGGCACCACGTAATATTATTCATGGTCGCGTGCCAGGTCTCGTCCCGCCGTTATTATTGGAGGCGCCGAAACGTGCAGTCAAATTGCACTGTACTTTGCGTATAGCCTCTTTTATTTGGACGGCTCATCCGTAATCTTCCAGTGCCGCTAACGATTTCTGGGGAAAGACATACCTCGCCTACTCCGGCGAGGCCAAGATGACGCAAACATTATCGATTTTGACTGGATGCAGCGCCGGCGCAACGGTATGCTCTGCATGAAAATTATACTGACTTCAAAACTCACGGCCAGCGACACAGGAAAGCTTCGTCGTCGTCCCTTTCGAGCTGGTTAAAATCAAGTCCGTCGCATTCTCCATGAGATGCGTCCTCTGATGGACATGATCAGAATGCAGGACAAGGCCAGCACGTTCAAGGGGCCCATCGACGTAGTCCGGCACATTATTAGAAAAGACGGTATGCTCGGTATGTATGCTGGAATGGAGTCGACCTTCTGGAGGTAAGTCCGTTGGGATTTACCGTGGGCGCTTAATTAATTTTGAGTATTTGTTAGGCACTTGTGGTGGAATGGAGGATACTTCGGTTGTATCTTCCAGGTTCGCGCGTTGCTGCCCAAGGCGGAGGTGAGTCCAGCCTCAATCGATGAAGGCATAGACTTGCCCACGAGTTCATAGACTCCCCAAGCAACGTTGCTCAATAACTTCATCTCCGGGTCCGTAGGTGGTTTCGCCGGAACCGTAGTCAACACACCGTAAGTTACTTTCCATTCGCGTTACTCCATCTCAACCATTCCTTCAGATTCGACGTATAGTGTCCCCATATCTAATTGCGATCCATACTAACGCCCTCCCTAGGTGGTCAAGTCGCGCATCCAGGGCACAGCCAAGGTCCCCGGCGTCACCCCAAAATACAACTGGACATACCCCGCCATCGCGACCATCTTCCGCGAAGAGGGCCCGGCGGCGCTGTACAAGGGCTTCGTCCCGAAGGTCCTGCGGCTCGCACCCGGTGGTGGCGTGCTGCTGCTCGTCGTCGAGTTCACACTTGGTGTCTTCCGGAAAAGTAAGCCTGAACGAATGAATGTGTGTCTTATAATGTGTGCTGACGAAGAGAACGTAGCACTGGGCCCACCGTATATTTAATTTAGACAGAACGTTTGCTGCGTCGAGGACCATGGCGATGGAAATTCATGCATGCTGTCTCCGTATATTTACATTCAGATCAGCGGTACAGTTCGGACATATGTGAAGCTCCCAGCTCGTACATACACAACGTGAAGAATCTTCCAACACTGGATACAATGAATATGTCGATGGAGCAGAGAGTGCTTACATTCCCTCGTCCGTGATTCGACCCCTCTAAAGTACATTGTTCAAAACTCAAAATGCCGTCTGAAATGTGAGTAAATGTTCCTATTCGAAATGACGGGCAGTAATTGTGAATCAAATATTAATATAGGGCAGCGCACTACGTGTACAACGCCGTAGACTACGAGGAAGCTAACTGATTGTTAGGATTCCAAGGCTATCAGTTACCACCAATGAGGAGCTTGGTGCCATCGCCAGTAACAAACGGCGACGAGTAACGTGGCTCTAAGCCTTCCCATTTCACATTATCGCGTCCTTATACCCAAAGACGCGTCCCTCGGTGGACGTGAAAAAGAGGTCACCACGGGCAGTGTATTTGACGTCCCGAATCTCAATGAAAGATGCATTAGGACCATCCAAATCTATCTGCCGTGTCT